CATTTACCAGTCAGTATTTCCAGCCAAGCAGAACTTCTCATAAAAATAGGGATGCTGAACTAAACACTTCATTTGCAGAAAGATTCAAATTTACATTCAGAACAGTAATAGCTCAGTGGCTGGGCAATGAAAACATCAAAGGAATTCATGAGGAAGACTTACATATTTCCTCCTTGCTTCTCGAAGCGCATCAGATTCTTCTAGCTTTTTAGCTTCATCTCGGAATTTTTTAATACTTTCTTTCATCTCCTTGTTTTTTGCTAATTCCTGTTTGATGTTCTCCACAAAACCTGATATAAAACCCTTTCTTCCTCCAGAAGAGTAACATCTAGACTAAAGAAAATCATTACACGTTGTAGAATCCAAAGAGACATTCATTTAAAACAAAGCCAGCTGGTAGATTTACTGAAGCCAAGCACTGGGTCACTTCTAACATATTTAATGTTGTGGGAAACATACAGCTACCTTGAAAAAGAAGCAGCTTACCCTCAGAACAGCCAGATGTCCAACACGTTTCTAACGCCCCGTGAAGTACATCTATATAGCCATTTAAAAAGCCGCTTCTCCAGAGGACGTTTAACTCCAGAGGTTAGTTCAACACTAACCAGGCTTGAAACAATGCGGTAGATGAAGTTACTAGAGCACCACTCCTGAACTCTGTCACCTGGGACTCAGCTAGTACAAACCTCCTTGAATTCATCAGATATACCTTAAAAAGTGGAAACTTTCAACCTAGAACTGGTGCTTCTCAGAAACTTATCCACATCTAGTAGATCAGTACCCTAATGGGAAACCACCTGCGGCCTGAAATAAAAAAAATTCAGCCGTTAACCAACCTGATGGATGTCTAAAACAGGCCTGCTCATTCGATACACTGTACCCCTGTGGACTGCAGGAACTGGGTATCTTCTGGATATAAGCCATATGCCACTGATGAGACATTTCTGCAATGAAAACGTAAGATCAGGTTAGCACAGGATGACAGCAGTCTTAAAGAGCCAAGGAAGAAAGGAAAGAATACTGCAAATAGACAATATTCACTGGTCTTCTGGGAACACATCCTACGTGCTGCCAAGAAACACTGGAGGCTGGTTTGAGAAGTCATCCATAAAAGCCCTGTTACGTATTTGAGCAGCACTATATCCACTTACAAGTTGATTTTGATAAAACCAAAGTTGCAGCCCCAAACGGGGCAATACACTTTTCACAATCACTTGAGAACCCTGATTTTCTGAAAACGGTGATGCACAAGTAAATCCATCCTTGAGCTGAAACATCTGTCAGTGATGAGAAGCATATCGTTTTTTCAAGGAAAACTGGCTCCAAACACAACTTTCTCCCAACTGTGGAGGAAACCCAGGACCCCTCTGTATGTATTTGTGCTGCCTGAAGTCAGAGACAAACACCTTTTGCCTCAAGTCACAGAACAGAAAAGAGACACTAGATGACAGAATGATCACTGAGAAATTCTGCTGCACCTTGCTGAGATCACAAGCTGCAAATTCTTGCATCACGTGGCTAATCCTTCAGTCCGTCATCCTATACTGGAAGCAGACTATGCAGAGCTTGTAGATTCTTGCCTTTACTCCCCTAAAATGGTCCTTCAGCACTGACCCAGCTCCTCTTTCCCACATTCCGGGAAAATGTATTCAGCCTATCCTTGGCCTCCGGTCAGGCAAAAGCTGCACCTTTTACCTCAAACTAACCTCCTGTTCCTGATGGGCCTGTGTTACCAAATCGTGCAAGCCAAACTCTTTCTCTGCAAGACCATCTCTCAAACTGCTCACCCTAAAAAATAAAAAACCCCACAAAACAAAAACATGCACAAATCAAATGCGTTTTTCCACTAAAAGACTTTGGAAAACGATTTGTAAGCTGAGAATATTTATTTCTGTGTCCAAGCTAACAATAACATGTCCGCTTCTTTATCAGGCTCCTAGCCATTGAAAAGGTTTTGTAAAGAGCCGCACTGTCCGGTCCTGTGGCTTCAGTGACGGCACTGCCAAACACCACAAGCTAAATCTAGACTTTACATCTGAGAAGAATTAATGGTGTAATTGTCCCACATATCCTGCTGGCCCAAAGACATGCGTTACATTAACTCACTGGTTTCTACATTTCTAGTAAGTCACATCTTTTAAATTCAGCTCCCTCTTATTTATTGGCTCTGTAGTTAGGCCTAACTTGGACTGCTGAATTTTAAAGTGTCAAGTTTATATCAAGGAAGGAAACGTTCCCCATAGCCTATCTTTGAACCTTGCCGCCCAAGCCATCGCTGAGGCCAGGCTTTGGAGCAAGCAAGAATAAGCTAGATATTATATGCATACCTTAAAAATCTGTATTAACTGTAAGAACGGCATTAAAACTTGGGGCAGATTGCCTGCTGGATTTAACTGGCTGCAGCTCTTGACCAAAAGGCACATTTCTTCCACGCTACTGAGCAGAAACGCTTAATCCCATGTTTAACTTTGGGCACAAAAGATCAACCGCCTCTAAGGCATGTCACCCTACAAAGTGGCTTTTAAAGCCAGAACCTTTGCATTCAGTTCACACATCCGTTCACCTGCTCAACGCAGGGGAAAATAATCATGTTTAAATTTAAGCCTTGCAAGAGGCCATCAGTGGAGCAGCTCAGCATCACAGACAGCTCTGCGAAGACTCTCTGGCAGCTCCAAGGCCGACCTGGGCTAAGCTGGCCTGGGCTGTCCCTTGCTGAGCTTGATGGCAGCGCAAGCAGGGATGCTGAAGCGGGGAGAGGAGCCACTGCCTGGTTCCACCTGCCCCAGGCGCCCTCGCCACGGGCCTGACAGCCCTCAGGGCAGGGCCTGAGCCGGGCCAAGGCGGGCAGGTCCCTCCGTGGTGCCTCCACCTCAGCAGCTCCGGTACCTCAGCAGCTCCGGTACCTCAGCAGCTCCGGTACCTCAGCAGCTCCGGTACCTCAGCAGCTCCGGTACCTCAGCAGCTCCGGTACCTCAGCAGCTCCGGTACCTCAGCAGCTCCGGTACCTCAGCAGCTCCGGTACCTCAGCAGCTCCGGTACCTCAGCAGCTCCGGTACCTCAGCAGCTCCGGTACCTCAGCAGCTCCGGTACCTCAGCAGCTCCGGTACCTCAGCAGCTCCGGTACCTCAGCAGCTCCGGTACCTCAGCAGCTCCGGTACCTCAGCAGCTCCGGTACCTCAGCAGCTCCGGTACCTCAGCAGCTCCGGTACCTCAGCAGCTCCGGTACCTCAGCAGCTCCGGTACCTCAGCAGCTCCGGTACCTCAGCAGCTCCGGTACCTCAGCAGCTCCGGTACCTCAGCAGCTCCGGTACCTCAGCAGCTCCGGTACCTCAGCAGCTCCGGTACCTCAGCAGCTCCGGTACCTCAGCAGCTCCGGTACCTCAGCAGCTCCGGTACCTCAGCAGCTCCGGTACCTCAGCAGCTCCGGTACCTCAGCAGCTCCGGTACCTCAGCAGCTCCGGTACCTCAGCAGCTCCGGTACCTCAGCAGCTCCGGTACCTCAGCAGCTCCGGTACCTCAGCAGCTCCGGTACCTCAGCAGCTCCGGTACCTCAGCAGCTCCGGTACCTCAGCAGCTCCGGTACCTCAGCAGCTCCGGTACCTCAGCAGCTCCGGTACCTCAGCAGCTCCGGTACCTCAGCAGCTCCGGTACCTCAGCAGCTCCGGTACCTCAGCAGCTCCGGTACCTCAGCAGCTCCGGTACCTCAGCAGCTCCGGTACCTCAGCAGCTCCGGTACCTCAGCAGCTCCGGTACCTCAGCAGCTCCGGTACCTCAGCAGCTCCGGTACCTCAGCAGCTCCGGTACCTCAGCAGCTCCGGTACCTCAGCAGCTCCGGTACCTCAGCAGCTCCGGTACCTAGCAAGGCTGCTTTGAGGTTCCTACGCTTCCCCGCTTCGGTTTACCTTTCCGTCAGCACCGCTGTGCAAAAGGAAACTTCATTAATGAACTGTAATGTAAAAAAACCGGTGAGCTACAAGCGAGTTGAGTTCGGCCGTTTCACGGCACAAGTGCTTCCGTCAGCGTAGCTGGGGGGGAAGAGGCAAGAGAAGGGGCTGTTGGAAAGGGCAGGAACCTCTACTGCCAGATTTTCTGGATAGAGAAAGCAAAGGTGGAAATAAAACTCACTGGTTTGAAGAATGCAGAGGGCCTTCCTGAGAGGCCATTATCTTGAAGCTCATGGGGGGGAGGTTGGAGGGGAGAAAGGGTTAAGAGACCAGGATAAAGGCTGTTAACTTTTTTTTTTCCTATACAGCAGCTCTAAAAATTTTTAGAGCACCTCATTCAAGCTATTTTTCCACATTTAGGGTTTCTGACACCGCTCTGGCTCTTGCCAGAGTTCACTAGTATCGTAAAGCAGAGCACAGACGCCATCAGGTGACCTTTCACCAGAAGACAAGTCGGAGAAGCTTTACCTTAGTAATTGGTTGATTACACTTTGAACGGCTTTCTGCTGGGACACAGCTTGGACGACAGCTTTGTGCAACAAAGCCTGTTGGTGAATTTTTTTTCCACTTGCTCAGTGTCATCTCGATGATACTGAGATACCTCAAGGAGAGAGATCATCGAGGGGCAATCGATACCGCTGCCGCTGAGCCAGCGAGGTCCCGCTGACAGAACCAGGCCCGCAAGGAGAGCGTCTTTTCATTTCCCGTTACTGTAAGAAGAGTTTGATTTCGGAGGCCACGCAGGGCAAGAAATCCTGTCTTTGGCATAAAGCTTCAAGCTCTCCTGCCACAAGAATTCCCACTCAAAAATAGTCACTTTCAATTTGTCTTATTAAAGCTGTGTTTCTTGCAGGAGAAGGTGAAATATCCCACCTTCTGCCTTTCACCTGCACCTCGGCCCTGCGATACACCTGTGTGCATGGCCCCCACTGAAACGCTCCACATTAGAGAAAAAAAATGTTTTTAAATCCGTTTTCAGTTCAGGCCTTCAGAACGGCACTGACACAACTGAAGGTACAGGATATTTTATTTTTTTATTATTATTTTTTTAAGTCAGCATTGCCACTGGAGAAAAATTAAGCTACCAGCCTTTTGCTAAGAGTGGTCACCGATTAGGTCTGAATACAGGAAAGGGAAGTCCCCCCTGTACCCCGAAGACATTCAAACACTAATGCGAATGCGCAAATGCATCGTTTTAAAGACCGATTCATACTGTCATAAACTGACAACGGAGAGGAACATTCTTTCTTGACACTTCACAAGAGAATACAAATTCTAGTTTACTGAGCTCAGTTTACAGATATTTTTTGCAAGCATAGGATGTGCTGCCAGTAACGGATGCTGTGACTGAAATCTTTAACTTGCATTTATTATCAAAGTCATACTGTTTACATCTGTAATGTCAACAAGATGCCACAACTACAAAAAAAGATTGTGCACATTGCAGTTTCAATGCAAAAAACAGTAAAATGGAAATCCATTTGTTAAAAAAGTAATTAAAATTACTCCAGAAAGCAACTGAATTGTTTTAACACCTTTACATCCAGTCAAATTAAAATGGTTAACAAGAAAAAAATACAATTTCAAAAATCTGGTATCAGTGTTAAAAAGGCAACTACTTAAGCATTTCTATCAATTCGCACATCAATCTCCCTCCCACGAAGCTGTATCCCATTCATCATACGGCAGGCTCGCTCAGCTACTTCTGGGGACTCAAATCTAACCACACCACATCCTTTAGACTTCCCATTCTCCATCTTGATATCAGCATACAGCACGTGACCTTAAAAAGAAAAGAAAGGGTCTTGTTTAACGCAGCAGGTACCACGTAACTCCCCATCAAGTCACAGTTCTCCACCTTAAGCCACAGAAGGTGAACCTTTAGAAGCTGCCATTACTTTGAAACTTAAAGCTACAACTTTACCAAGTCATTGTTTTAGGGAAGCGTTCTCGGTTTAAGCAATGAATTAATTCAAACCGGTTCTCTCAGTCCTCACTCAAGCAGCAGCAGGTAATGGAGGAAAGCACGAGCTAACAAGCCCTGTCCAACTTGCCAATGCACACTGCACAACCGAGGCTGGGGCTTGGTTTTGCCCTCAGACGAGCAGCCCGAGATGCTGCTGGGGAGCAAGGTCTGGGCACAGCAACCGCTGCCATGGAAAAACTCCCCGAAGCTGAAGAGCGCACCTCAACAGTCAGTAGCTGAGTTCAGAATTTCTTCAGTTATTTTTTTAAGGACAGTTTTCCCAGACAACTATGTTCATTTAGACATAAAGAATCTGCGCAGGTGCTTTTCAGCAGTTCTCAGGACTTCCACAGCTCTATTCCCACCTCTTTCCCAACTACAAAGAGGCTATCCACGTGATAAACCCAGCCCCCGAGATGGAGGAGGGAACAAACGCTTAGAAAAAGCATGTGTTAACTGGGTTATCAACTGGCCAGACACGTATTTCTTTCCAACACTGCGGAACTCTTGCTGGTACGGCAGGGATGGTAAACATCCTCACAACACCTGTCAATGTTAAGAACTAGTACTTCGGTAAGTCTGAGTGAAATTTTAGTTAAGATACTAGCGTCAGGGACATATAGAGCCAGGAGTTACTGTTTAATTCATATTCAATTCTCAGAGTAATTACCAGTGATAAAAGTAACTTACCACATTCGTTAAATTTATCTTTCAGCATTTTCCATGTAAAATCAAAAGGCAGCTGTGAAAAGAGAAGAACAGACCATTACTGAGAATCTGTTGAACAACTTGCAAGCGCTGCCAACTCTCCAAAACATGTTTTCTGTCCTGGGACAGCCATCGTTCAGCATCTTCCTTTACAGATGCAGAGAGCTCTTCTCCTGTTAAGGAAATGGCTTCAACTCACAAAAGCCCACCGAACTCCACCTTTGGCAGCATCCAATATTAGATATTCTGACGGAAGTCAACCGAGCACAGATGAGATCAACACGTCAGTACCGACTAATTTCAGGAGGAAGGAGAGGTAGGAAGAAGGCTACTCACATTTCTCACAAATATCTGACAGGCTTTTCTGGCCACCCCAGCTGCAGGTCCTCCAGTTCCTCCAAGGGAGCCTGCAAAATTGCCTGCAAAGTTTCCACGTTCCATGTCCATTGTTCTTTCAAAATTGCTTCCCATCGCAAGTCCCATTCGATCTATGCCTGCTCCCATGCCCTGTCCCATAGCAGGACCCATTCTTTCCATATTAGTGGCTCCAATGCGCTCCAAGCCCATTCTCTCCATGCTAGCAGCACCCATACGGTCTATTCCTATTCTTTCCATAGGAGTGGCACCTATGCGATCCAAACCAGCTGGCATTCTCTCTATGACCTGACCCATTCCAGTTCCCATTCCAGCAGGGACCATACGCTCCATACCTATACCCATTCTATCCATGCCAGAGCCCATACGTTCTACGCCTGATCCCATTCTGTCCATAGTGGTGCCAACACGGTCAATGGCAGCGCCCATTCTCTCGATACCAAAGCCTATTCCAGAACCCATTCTCTCTATGCCAGAACCCATTCTCTCAATAGCTGGGCCCATCCTCTCAATGTTAGGAGCGATGTGATCTATGCCCAGAGGGGCCATTCGGTCAATTCCTGAACCCATTCGCTCCACGTTGGAGCTCATGCGATCCAAAACAAGACCCATCCTGTCTATTTCTGACCCTACTCTCTCCATCCCATGCCCCATCCCGGAAGGTATTCTTTCTATTCCCGAGCCCATACGATCAATGCCAGGTGCCATCCTCTCAATCCCAGGAATGCTGGCATTTCCACCACCTGGAACACAACACACAGATTATCAGTAATCGTACAGGGACAAAAAAACCCCAAACCCTAATGCATGCTTACACTACTGAAACGCTGTAAGCTTTATCGTCACTCAAGAAAAGTGACTGCACGCTGTGTCGCTCTGTTGCTGCGGAATACGAAGCAACATTTGATTTCAGATGGTAAGAGTACTGTTTTTGATTACACAGACCGTCACGACACCACCACATGACTTAGGGGAGCAGTCATCTCATCAGACCACATACTATAGTTGCGATGGAGAAGAGTTTATCCCTTTGCTAAGGAGCTTAACTTCTGTATGCACAAAGAAAGCCTTCCAAAAAAAACAAAGGAGACAATTTTGAAGGCATATGCAAACCTAGGAGAAGATCAGGTGGTAAAAGCAGTATTTTAAATATAATCTTAGCTGCTAGCTGTCCTGTGCAGTACACTGGGGATTACGCAGCAAGAGCAGTAATTTAGTAACTGAAGTTACAGTTCAAATACCGATTGCTTGGAAGAGGAATGAAATCACGTCATCCTTGCCATGCAACTCAAAGATTGCTTCTGCCAAGCCAGGGAGAGACTTTTACAAGAAAAGCTCGCCAAACCTAAGAGCCCTCTTATGGCCAGAACTCCAAGAAAAAGAAAGCAAAGTCCACAGAAGAACCACAGCAGAATGACCATTATGAAGTCACAAAGCATGGCTGGCCTTTTAATGTGGAAAGAAATATAAAAAGGTTGCCTGTGCCATAAAACACAAGCAAGAATAGGGTTTCTATGTCTGCTACATAAAATCCCTTGACTGAGTTGTCCTGACTCTGCTAGAATCTTCGAGTTCCTGCAGTAGAAGGATCGCTCCCCTATAGTTTAGGCCATTTTGCTGTTGTACGAAGGATCTTAGCTTATCTATCAAATCACGTTTAGCACCGCAAAAAAAAAAATCATGTTGAGTTTGATTCCTATCTGAGGGGAAAAAGCCTTGAAGAAAGCACGTGCTTAAATTATCTACATATATTTAATGAAGAGAAACAAGATATGTAACCCTAAGATGAGCCTATGCTCAAGAAAACTGAAGCAATCACATTTACAAACAGCACTCATCCTGCTGCGGTATTTCGAGCTTCAGTAGTACCTTAAAGAACAGAATGGTTTTGGGTTACGTGACATTTGTACTTGTGCAAGTTGGCTTTTTTTTTTTCCATTAACAACCAACAGCAATAAACATTTAGTATTTCTTCAGCTGAAAGCCAGCAGCGTTGTGTATTTGTTTTTAGTCTCCCAGAAAAGAGCTAATCCCATGCAGGCAGACAGTGCCAACTCTTGGTTACTAAATGTTGTGATTCAGTCATTAAGCAAATAAAATTAATCCTGTAAATTGGGAAGGGGAGGAGGCCTACACTTTGATATTTTGGTTCAGCTTTGTTTCAGAAATCCTGCAGTTTTGAGTACTTCATTACCGAAATAGTCCAGTATTTCCAGAGAGTCGCTGGGCAACTTGCTAGGAAGCTAAATGTTACACAGGCAGTGGGGAGGAGCAGGACTTTGTTCTCACTGAAAAAAATTTAGTATCTTACCAGCAGCATTTCAAAAAAATGGACAACTGCCAGAAAAGTCTAAAAAAAATTTTAGTCTCCAAGTAATCTTTTTTTAGAAGTGTTTTAATGCATAATATTGCTTATCTATTTAAAGATTATCTCCCTCAAAACTATTTTTTAATGCATTATGTGTATACATATGCGTACACATATTAAAAAAAAAGCAGTAAGTTACCATAACTGAATTGCTGCTTTAAGTGCTTTGAGTTTTTTGAAGGCTGTACTTGCTTTGCAACCTTAATTTTAAGGTAAGGATATTTTTCGTCTTTTTTTTTTTTAAACGACTTATAAAAAAGATCACCTTTCCTTGCATACAAGATCCAATTTTATAGAGAGTCATCTGAGTTGTATCAGCAACAGTGTACTGCATTTCGCTTTCTTTAAAAATGAATTTAAGTTATGTCAAATGAACGGAGCACAGCAATTACAGAGCAGTCTCAGGAACTGGCTGAATCAAGCTGTACACACACGGAACAGATGCTCACAGAAGATGTTAAAAATGTTCATGTTCCGAATCTTGATTAATCATTCCGAAGCACGATTAATACCTTTTGCCATCTCAAAGCTGCTACAGACAGAACAGCACTGCACTATCCTTGCTCAGTTCAAGTAATATTTTACACCAAGTTATTTGCTATATTGATAGTCTTCCTTTTTCCACTGGGGTTCAAAAGGAAAGACCGACAGAAGAACACTAATTTTAGTGCCGCATGAGTTGCACAGTAAGGCGTTCTCTTCAATCATCTGATGTGTGAGTCTATACCAGATTCCTAAAATGCCTGGGAGGAAGGGAAGGAAATTAAGGTTTTGCCGTATTTTTCCTCCCTACTGTCTAGGCCGCAGACTACGTTTTAGTGACAGGATCGGGTCACACATCATTCAGAACCTTCCTCTTTGCCACACAAATATATGGAAGTTTTAGCATGACCTTTGAAGACCCAAGGCAGCGTATTAAGACTGTGAGAAGGTTTCCATTACACAGCCCCACAGGTCACTACTAATGTATCTATCTGCCTTCTGTACAGCTCTTAGGAGTTTGATCAAAACCAAACTGTTACACGAGTACACAGAAAATATAGCCTGTTTTGTTTAACAAAACGCATGATTTTTATGTCCAGTTCAGGTATGAAAAGCAGGTAGTAAAAGCACTTAGCTTAGTGTACTTACCTATTCCTCTCTCCAAAGTTTCTCCAAAACTACGAGACATTCCCATTTCGTTTCTTCCAAATTCTCTTTCAAATCCTCCACCCATGGCACGATCCATCTCTGAAAAGATTAAGTTTGAGATGATCTTCAGGGTGTCTAAATGACTCCTGAGAGAATGTTTTAATACAGGCATAATTTTTAAAGATTAACAGCAAGGCAAGTTTTTTTATCATGTTCTCCTGATCATTTTATCATGTCTTCTTGAGACCAAAAAAACCAACAAAAAGCAGGACTCATCTCAATATGGACAAACACATTTGAGGCAGCCACTTTGCTCTGGAGAAGTCTTTCTGGTGAATACAGACAGAGCGCAGTTTATCTCTTCCTAAACCAGTCCTTCAAGACAACCTCAACGAATGGCTAGTTTTCTGCAGCTCAGAGGCCACGAGTGACTTGTGGACATCATGTCAGCTGTAAGCTTTAAGTTTTTCCAATAAAAGCTGAGAAGAGGAAAATGACCAGTCTAGAGAGTCTCTCCAGCGTTACGCTTTCAGAGAACACAAGTCAGGAGTTGGATATACAAAAAAACTAATGCCTACCACTCATTCTGCCCATGTTCATTCCAGCTGGGAAGCGACCAATGTTTTCCATGCCACCAAAAGGACCTTCCATTCCTAAAAGAAAATATTTTTCAGGGATTCTTTAGCAATGCTTTTCAACTTAACACTACACTTCACCCACATAAGCTGCTTTCACAGAACATTTCCACAGGCACCAAGACAACTCTGTATCACAGATTCACAAAACAAAATTTGGTCACACCGTATCTCCTAAGCCAAGGGCAGTTTTAACAAGTCACATGACAAAAACATGGGTCACGTTTTATCCGAGGTATTAACCCTTCCCCATACACCTACAGCAGTTTTATTAATACTCAAAAAGGAACAAGTTATTACTAAATTGGTGACGATTTCAAAGAACACAAATGCCCGCTAGACACATATGGCTAAGTTTACATGACTTTCAGAAAGCCCAAGCTATATACATATCAAAAAACACAGCTTACCTCCCATTTTATTCATTCCAAAGCCCATGCCTTCCATTCCCATTCCTCAAAATAAAAGAGAAAGCTTTATATAGCAGACGTAATTCTACAAAAGTTCAGCCATTAGACTGGCTGTAGAAATAGAGACCATACAACATGTCCACTGTTTGGACTGAAGAGCTTACATGTGACAACTCTGAGTAGATTGCAACATTCCTTCTCAGAAAATAAAGCAGCAAAGGGGAAAAACCCATAGGCATTTATAAATTGAAAGCTGAATGTGTGCTACTTTTTAGGTGGCTCTTTAAAACTTGTGCTATTTAAACATATCCTAAACAAAGATTTGCAAGCCCACTAGTAAGTGTTAAAAGTGACAGATGGTTTTAAAAGTTTAATGTATATTTGCAGTGTCTGCTGCTCATGCTCAAGAGTCAGAAAATGAGAGCTGTGCTTTGACCACAGTGAAAAAAATGGAGCAGTTGGTTAAATTCAAGTTTCCATTATCAAGCTCATTACTTTGCTCAACAAAAACTCATTTGGCTTTAACACTCCTAATACACTTCAGCTTTTTGTGTAGGCAAAACAAAGCTATCTACCTTCTACATAGCTTAAAGCTCTCATGAAACAAAAGCATAGGAGTAATCTTCTTACCTCCAGGTCCCATGTTGCCCATTCCCATGCCTTTGTTTAAATGATTTGCATCAATAGGTTGACCTCCAGGTCCTAATCCCATGCCAATACCACCAAGACCATCTGAAGAAAATATTCAGATATCAAAAAAGCCTTCTTTCCATAGTTTGACAAAACAGCAAGTTTTATTCTTAAGTAATTGACTTCCATTCTCCAAAAAGCTTGCTGTGTTCCCACTTTGGGGTGTGTACTTAAAGCATGAAAGTGTATAGTAAATCCAGAATAGATGTGTCTTGAAATATACTAAAAACTCTCTCTCAAGTATTTTTTCTCATAATCCATTTTCCATCTTACTACTGAGAAAACTTGCTTGTTTGGTTGGTTTTAAGCTGACTCCTGAAAAATAACTGGCTAGAACACTGCTTATTTTGTGCAACTCCTCAATCTAAGGAGAATAGAGTGGGCAATTTAGTATAAAGATCTTCTAACCTTTGCACAATGTTACCCTTGATTGACAAATGGCTTATTTCCACCTTTGCCAAGGTTCTTCCCTTGTAGGTAAGAATTTAACCACAAAGTTCAACCTGTCATTATGATAGCCACCTATAGAATTCAGAGCACACAGCCAGCCTCTTCTCTGAGCAAACAAAGCGTATCATTCCCAGGCATAATTTTGAATCTTCCTGTACCCAAATGAATTAAGGATTCCCCAGTCCAAAGAAAGAAGAAAAAGCCCTCGTATTTTCCTTAATCAGGAAGAAAGAGTTCTCTGCTTGCACTTGTATCAAACAACAGCTTAATGGCATTCTTTGCCTATGAGAAGAGGACTTCCTCATTTACAGCTCAGCATAATAAACACAGGAAGTGTTGAATCTTGTTTTAAAACAATACAAGATACCCCTTCCCCGCCCCAATAAAGGCCAAGAAACAGGCTTCCATTGGTATTTGTTGAGTTTTATACAAAGATAATTGAATTGGAACCCAATGACTTTCTCTTGAAAAAGAGGCGTAGCGTTACAGAAAGTCAAGGCAGCAATAAAAACCATGAATGATACTGCTGCTGAATAAGGCTTTGACAGATACACAAAAAATTGAACTAATTAAGGGGTGGATTGACTGATGATCCCTAAAATTGTGCAAGTTAGCAGCACACAACAGGTTTGGTTCCCATGCCTAAGAAAACAGCAACTGGCTGAATTAACAGAATTACGTTAACAGCCACGCTTCACGTTTTTGCTGTATTTAAACAAATTAAGCCTGCGTTCTCCTGCCTCTAGCTCTTCCCTTCCAACCCAGACTCTTCCTGTTCGGTACTTTCAGTATCTTATCACAGCGTGGTTGAGGTTGGGAGGGACCTGTGGAGGTCATCTGCTCCAACCCCGCTGGCTCAAGCAGGGTCACCTAGAGCTGGCTACCCAGGACCACGTCCACACAGCTTTTGACTATCCCCAAGGATGGAGACTCCACAGGCTCTCCGGGCAACCTGTTGTTCCAGAACTCAGTCACCCTCACAGTAATGTTTCCTTATTTTCAGATGGAGTCTCCCGTGTTTCAGTTTATGCTCACTGCCTCTTGCCCTGTCACCGGGCACCACTGAAAAGAGCCTGGCTCCCTCTTCTTTATTCCCTCCCTTCGGACATTTATACACATTGATAAGAACCCCTTTAGGAACCTGGAAGATTCTCGGGTCCTCAATTCAGCCCTTTCAATTGAAGGAAAAACATCAGATACCCAGAATACCATCACGTGAAAGGAGGCACACTTTTCCCTATTGACTGATTAATTACGTTTCCATTAAATCCCACTATTAACAGTAGTTTTAGGCACTGGGGTCTTTGAATTGCAACTGAAAGATATGGAAGCCTTGAGAACGTGAATGGGATACTGTTTTAAGACAAGCTTCTAGCTATGAGCTGAAAGGAGTATCCAAAAAAAAAAAAAAAGAGACAAGACTGAGCAGCTCTTCTTTACTATTTCCCCCTTTGATATTATTCAAACCATTTGGATCCCAGCTTTCCAAAGTTTGAACCGGAGTCTTACTGGGGCTGGGATCAGGCCCCAGTTGCTGAACAGCAAAATAAAAAAACATAACATGTTCAGTCATGCAGGAGAGACTTACGAGGAAGTTGTTGGGGTCGCTCTGGAGGAAAGAAGTCTCCTTTGGGAAAGGCTCGTTCATCCTAAACACAATTCAATACATTAAAGTTTGTGAGAAAAGTAAGAAGTTATTTCTTCCCTTTTTTTTTTTTTTTAAATTAAAACACAAAAACCTAAAGCTAAAGCAATCTTCATGGTATTTATGATTGTCTTTTAGCAAAATAATCAGAATTAACCCTGCCCAATGGCGTGAGTTGACATCACTAGGAATCAGGCAAGTTGCACATTTCCCTCCTGTATTTCAGCCCAACCTTGAAACCACGCGTCATCCAAAATCAGGAGCACAATTACCGGTTCAAAAAGCAGTAAGAATTTGAACTACTTACCATTTTTACGTGCATCGGTCTGTCAAACAGCAGCTGCCCATTAAACATCGCTATTGTTTCATTAAGGATCATTGTTCAAGCACAAGCAGCACACAAAGTCTTAAAGCTCTAAGTGCTATCTGATGCAGAGTACAAAAACCCAGTCAGAAAACCACACCTCTCCACGTTGCTTCTTAAGCTATTAAGTTCACAGATTATCAAAAATCCTTCTGCCTTCTCCAAAACTAAAAAGCTTTGAAATCCAAATAACTGAATATTCAAAGAATGGCTTTTTAAAATTAAAATATGAGAGTTTAAAATACTCTTCTGGTTAAGATTAAGTTCATCAAGAGATCACTTAAAATGTGACTCCAAACCAGCCTAGGTGTTCAAATGTTTCATCAGTAACTTTGGCCATTTAAAACAGGAGAAAACATGCAAAAGTTCTCAACATTTCCAAATCAACAAATAGCCAAATTTTGAACTATGCCACGCTAGTCAATCACGTGAAATTTGTGTAAGTCTTGCTCCCACAAGGCTTAACTTATTAGGTGCACATGCAGAACGGAATTAACATTCAAACAGAAAGAGAAACTTTGGGAGCGGGAAGAGGGAAATATTTTCCTCCTTTCCATACCATAGCCACAAGTTGAGGGATCATGCACACAGCAGTATCTGTACTTTGTTGTTGTTTGGTTTTTGTAGATTGCTGTGTAGCAAACCATCGCTTGCACAGCGTAAGAACACAGGGAGCAGAGGAACACACTAGGCCAAGCCATCTTATATTGCAGATGGATTTGTTGCATTCCTCCTTTACCTCCATCACAGGAATTTAAGACAAATCTTTTCTCAGAAATTGCATTTTAATACTAGTTTCAACCTAGAGACAGAAATTTACTATTCGGGCTAGAAACACATGTATCCATGTGGGAAAGAGAATCCACCTTGTTAATGATTCTGAGCAAACAGCAGCAATTCTTTCAAGATGGACGTTTTTCTCTTTTTCAGTTTTCCTTACATTTTCCATCCACTGCAATGGCTTGACTTTCTGTGACATGGCAATATCCTCACTTGTAATATTACAATTTATATTTTCATCCTGCTTTGCTTACTAAGTTATTTGCCTACTATTCACCATCATTACTTTTCAAGGATACATATAGCCTGAACAGCCTCTATAGCTTGCTCAAAAGTGACAGTGCCAATCCCACGACTTTTGCCATCTTTGTCTTCTAGTATGTCTGCCCGAACCACAACACCGGCCATGCTGAATACTTCTTTCAGTTTCTTCCAACCAACCTTGTAATCCAGCTGGAAGACAAGTGATATTAGAAGTATGAGAAAGATTTCCATCAGAAAACAGCTTTAATGTTCTTACATTTCCTTTCCCGATATCAGCAATCTTAAGAAACAAAGAGTCTCCGCAGAGATAGGATGAAATTTAAATAGCATAAAGAATGCTGCAGAGCTTAACACAACATTCTTGGCTTTGTTCGAAAACACAAATTAACAGACATGGTAACATGTAGGATACATCTTAATTCACAACTTCACTAGCACAGAGAATCAACAAGACCAGCCACAGAATAAGTTGCTACTCAGTTTTACTGGAACAGAGCTGAAAGTCTAAGGCTTTTCTTCTAATTCATTAGATTTAACTCAGTTAAGACCCAGATTATGGATTACACAGCACTTACATTTGCAACAAAGACAGTGCTTCCAAGTCTCCCTGCCTGTAAGGCATGAATGATCTCGTTGGGTATGTTGGGATTGTTGAGTATACTAGGCGGGATATTGATCATGCCGGGGCCGCCCGGGCCTGGACCAATACCCATTCCACCAGCTGCTGCCATGACCTTCTGCATTGCTCTCCTGGCATGCTCACCGTCAGGATCCTGCAAAAACAGAAGCAACATACTCGGTTCTCTCTGCACTCCGCTAAATGTGTGGGGATTTAGTGGCATGACTAAAACAATCAAAAGAAGAAGGGGCTTCCCTTTAGACAGGGCTATCCGCTCCCTATACATCTCCAGCCAGCTACTTCACATATCACTGCCATCCACTAGTTTATTTTCTTTTAACCAATATGCCAGCACCCTTCAAGTTAGCAAGTTATTCCTACTCGTGCATTTCCCCTGATTCTGAAAGCGTTTATCTATTATTCAACACCATCAATAAACCTCACAGTTACATCTGTTCCAAAGACTGATAAACCCAGAATGGCATTGGGAAGGTTTTGGAAAACAAATGCCGACTAACTCTTGGCATCTTCAAAACACTGCAACAATTCATTTACCTTGCACTTGGGCTTCTTTACAAGACAAGATACAGCGTGTAAAATTCCAAGAAGATTGGTTTGGGCAACACTTCCCCCCCCCACGCACTGGCTTTCTAACCCGAAAAAACTTTTAATGTATCCCCCTATTACTACATAATCTCACGATTTTAGGACATGCTAGAGAACATGAAGCATAGGATGAAGAATTCAAGGAAGGAAATAAGATTAATTATTGTCACTTCACTTTATACTGAAAGCGAACATAAGCACCTTCACAATACAAGGTGAACTTATGTTACTTAGGTTGGAAACGTCACACTGTATTCAGTGAGCAAAATGCACCAGCACTGCAAGACTGCTGAAGAAAGTGAACAAATAGAATTAATTAGTCAGAAATACAGATGCTTTAAAAATAAAAGCTATTTGAGTTAATTTGAATCTTGATCTGAATTTTAAGACTAAACAATAGCACGTTTTGAAAACAGGAGAAAGGATAGCTTTCACATGATTATTTCAGCTACAGAAAATCATAGTAGTCTGAGGTGGAGAACACATTAAAGTGAATACAAGTCGCTTCTCAATTTAAATTTCCTATTTCACTGCTAAAACAAGGTATTGCTTAAAACCAGATTAGCTCCAATAGAAAGCCAAGAGTGGTTGTCATACAAACTAAAGTCTTCTGATCAGGCAAAGAGCTTTATCTATTCCGCCATAAATTTTTATTATGTCACTTGGGGGCCTTCATGCTCCTCAGCAGTGAGACAGCCAATAAGGAGAGGTATGTATCAGACAGTTGGCAAAACTGATGCTAACGGTCATCCACAATAACTTAATTCATTCCACACAGTCAGACTGGGGCACTTGGCTGGGGTAAGTGTTGCTAAATTCCCTCCCTAATACTGGTAAAATGCTTCTTCACCGATTTCACTGTTCTGTCTGTGTCATACAGACAGAAATATTCAAGTATGGCAACAGTTTCACCAAGAGTTGGGCAAATTACAACCACCTCTTCTCAAGGACTGATACCAAAGGGCAATCTGACTTCCAGCACTAATGGTATATCATTAACAGGAAAACTGGCCCAGACATGGCCCACTCTCAATAGCTTTTTTCTTCCAAGGTCCCCTTAGAGAAGTCAGTGCCTGACGATTTCCAGGTATAACTGTTTTTCTAACCTTCCATTTCACCTCTTCCTTCCTTTAAAGGGTAGCAAGAGGTCAATAGTGCCAGAAGATGGCTTGCGCCCAGAAGCAGGCTGCTGCCCCCGGAATTCATTACTCACAAAATCTGCCAGATCTGAGAAGTGCTGCCACTTGCTGTCCCCACCCTTCTTCCCAAGTGCTCCTCAGACTACAGCAGGAAGCGGGTTGCTAAGGGCAGACCTTCTGCGCACGTTCTCTATCTTATACTCATGCAGACGTCTTTCACCCCCCACCATTAAGTGGGCAGGGCACGACAGAACATGAAGCCTGCTTAGCCAAGAACACTGCTCACATACCCTAAGGCCAAGAGTCAATGCCAACACTTAAGTAAGTCCCTTTTTATTTTTGTTCAATTGAACCTTCAATGCAGCTACAGGTTCCAAACTGCTGGAATAAAACTTTAAACTTGTCAGTGGTTAAGAATTAACTCATGGTACAGTTGAGCGTGTCATACTGGTTGACAATAGCAAAGCCATTAAAATGGAAATAAATCTTTGAAGTATTTCAGAAATCAGCTTATTCTACGGAATTTGTTTGTAGAATACATTCATTATGATGGAGAACTAAAAGGGAAGGCAGTCAAGAACAAACAACACTTATGCAGGTTTCTTCTTCAAATCACTAAAAAAGAAAGTATACCTGCAGTTAAAGCCGAACTCTTGCTTTGTCCGAGTTCTGCATTGCTACCATCAGCACCTATGCTTTAAATCAAGTTTAGTCTTGACAATCGCGTTCAAACTCAAGTTCAGCAGTACATGCTGATGGTAAAAAAAGGTTGACTGCCCTTTTTTTTTTTATCCTATTTGATGAGTTCTGCCTTTTGTCAATTACTCTTATCTGCAAATGAGTAAGCCATAAATCTTGACTAAGAACTACCCCTTCACCTTCAAATTCAACATACTGAAAGAACAGATGCACGTCTTACTTCTTTCACTTTCAATGGTCTTCCACCAAGACTATGCTTGTTCAAAACCTCTGCAGCCTTTTTCATGCTTTCTTCCATCTTGAATTCAACAACACTGTGGGGATACAAGACATCTAAGAACATTGCTTATTTTTTAAGCGTTTCCTCATTTCTTGCTATAAATTCATAAGTGAACTTACGCGCATCCCTGATGAGATGATTTCACAGGCGAATAACAGCGAGGAGAGAAGGGAAGAAAGAAGAAATAAAGTAAGTAAAAGCACAAAACACACAAAAAACTTTCTTTTTTTTTAAAGTCAAATCACATTAGTTAGCCCTAATAGTGAAAATAAATGTAATCTTACCCAATAAAGCCTTCAATACTTGAATTCCATAAGATATAATTTCTTATGCGTTAACAGGATTAAACTGTAGTTTCTGAAGTTGTAACAAACAGAACTAAGTCCCGATTCTCCAAGAAAAATACCACACGCTTCATGTGACCTGCTCTTCTCTGTCATACAGCGAAACCCTTGCCATATTCTCTCACCCTAAATCCATATCCTTCAGTACAGTTAAGTGTGTTCCTACTGTTTCTTTCCTTGTAAGATACTGTCGCTGGACTAAAGGACTTAAGTACCTATGAAGGCAATATACATTTACATTTAGGAATTGAATTCTGTTTACTGGCACAGGAAGTGTAGTTTACAGAACCTGCTTTTGCACACTGGCCTTACAAATTCAGCAAACCACTACAGTGACGTTTTCCAAAAACACAAGTATTACTTTAATATTCCGTACCACTATACATACTGCTAGGGTCCATGGGTCATTCAAACAGCCAACGCCAACTGAACACAGTGGAAGACCACCCTAACACTGTTTACGAGGCCCCGTCCCACCTCCTCCCCACCCCAAAAGAAGCTTTAAGCAATCCTATGTTATAGCCACTAAGCATACACACTCTCTACCTTCCTGACTTCGTTTCGTTCCACGCCACCATACAGTTACATTTGTCATGTAGAAAATCCACAGAAGAAATCTCTCAAACACTTACCCTTGACTTTCCTTCAGCGTCCATTAAGAGCTCCACGTATGTTACCTCACCAACTACAAATCAGATTCCAGACGACACATATACCAAGGGAGAAAAGCCAAGAAAACAATGGGAATTTAGAACAATCAACAACCGTGTATGGAGCCTCTGCCTTATAAGAAAGCCCAGAAACACTCCATGTTCTCTAGACCACAAAACTGGACAATTACAGGTATGCAGTAAAGTCTTAAAACAGTTAAACATGTTCTTGATTTTCCTCCACTTCAAAAGCCAGCTATTTCCACAATATCAGTTTCCTTGATCTTTAGTACCCACTCATTACTTGAGGCAATCCAAATCCATGGGAAAGTCTGCAAGAACAAGTTTCCTTCACTTTACATAGTATGCAATCTTGTCTCCATAGTCCAGAACGTGAGCAGTTATTTGCTTTTCTCTGGATCTAAAGACAGACTTCCAAAAAGGGAGACAGACTGAACCAAGAGATCACTGCCTCCTATTTATTTCAGCAGGTTTTTAGCCTTTTGTTAAGCCACAATAAAATAAAGTCCATTTTTTAGCTTCAATAAGTGGTATTAAACAGTCTGCTATGTTTGCTCTCAAGACAAAACCGTCTACAGCAACAGGCAAAACGCACTGGAAAACTACATCTGCACCTTTCCTCACAAGATTAGGATTGCCTTTTTATGACCACATGACCATATCGTGTACCTCCAGAATACAACTACCGAAATGGCTGCTGCCTTTGAAGTGACTGGCATACAGAAGAATCATCGAAGAAAACATCTTTTACTTTTTCTGTCTGGTTTAGTAGTCCTAGTTTTTAAGTTTAAGACAGGAGGACTCCAAGTCGCGTTATCTGAAAGGTGGAATGCAATCTTCGTGGGATACCACAACCCAGTCCGAATATTGATAGCATACTTTGAGCAAGGAACTGGAGTCTCACGTTCAAGAGTCTACCTCTTAGCAAGAGACAGAGAGGAAGAGGTGTTCAGCCCGACCTCCCACAGGATCAGTCATTTACAGGACACCTAGTGTCATTACGCAAAATGAACAGCCTGAAAGGTCTGTCTCAAAGCTGGAAGAAAAGGAATGCTTAATGAAATCGCTACTTTTTGTTTTTAATCTCTACTTCTTATTTAAAAAAAATAATTTAGCAATATCAGCATTCCAGCCAAAGAACAGTTAGCTAGGCAGAATAAACAAACTCTGATCCATTCATGTTCTTATGAGGATAGCATTTGAGAGGTAGAGGCTAACAAGCAAGTCCCTTTGAAAGGGACAGGGCAGATCAGAGTGTTCGATTACTATCCATAGCTTCACTATCTAAACAATACTTCTTGAAATAAAGTCTAACAAAGTTAATTCCATCCTATAATCTGAACACTATGAGATCATGTAGTATACATGGAATTGTTTCCACAGTCTGTGTAGCGAAAGGGACTGCACTGTAAACAGCCCCCCTGGACTAGTCTTCGGCGGTACATGGCGGCCGTGCACCGAGTCCAAATGTTCACATTACCAAGACATTCTGAAGCCATCCATCTCAACAGCAGCAGCCAGAGTCCAACCAAACTTTGATCAAAAATGCAAATGTGATTCAACAATTTATGTAGTAAGACAACAAATTCCCAGATTACCTACAATACAAAACCACTCCGTTTCACAGAGGCCAGAAGTCACAGGTTAGAAGTCTGTGACTTTGCTCCTAAGAACACTACTGAGCCCCTGGATTGAGGGCTCTCCTCTCCCAACCGCTAATCGAATTCAGCTACAATTCTTACTTCAGATCCACACAAACACTTCCAAAGAAGTTTGCCAAGCTTGAACATAACGTATTAAATACGATTTAACATTTACTCTTTTAACGAATCTCTGATCTCTGAACCACAAGATTTCCAGGAGTCTATCACAGCAGCAATTGTTTGTCACTTGGAAAATCTAGTATGTGCCAATTTTGCTCAGTGCTTCACATTCAAGCCTTACAGACACCTATATTAAAAACTAAATATACGTCTTGAAGTAGCTGTTTTCCTTCAAAGGACATCTGAACTTCCTGAATAGCCGAATTAAAAAAAAGCAGGGGGGGAGGGGAACAACACAAATAGTGTAACAGCTCAGTATCCAAGACACCAAGTCCAGAGTACAGAACAACTGCAATAAAAATGCATTTTTTCCACTTGAAAAACATGTAAAACGATTCAACATGACACTTCTTCCAGGAAACTACTGTTTGAGGCTGGCAAAGGAAACCTTTTTTTTTTTTTAAACAAGCTATGCTGGGTCACATTTTATTTGGCTTTTTTTCTAGATCCCAAACCACAGTACATCAGAACATCAGGCACTGGGGATAAAGCAGAACAGCAGACAAGGGTAGCCTACGATAGTGCACAGGCAATTAAGCCATGGAAAAGTACCAACAGCAGATATCCACGTACTAAACCTGCTTCAGAGGGTAGAAGAAATGCACAGCGATCCCGGCAGATTTTCTTTCTGCTAGAGAACAGTTGGCTTATCTCAGGAAACATATCCTATATCCACAAGTGAAGAAATTTCATTTAAGCACAAGAGACTGCCACTTAAGGAACTCAAGTTTATTACCGGACCAGCCTCCAAAGGGAGATAAAACTTGCAGAAAGTACTAGCTCTAAGTCAATGCAAGTATAATTAAGGAACATGTTCCCCATAGTGGCTTTAAGACTTAACTTAGACTGATTTTTTTTTTTTAACCTCACACTTGAGAAAGTTTGGAAACTCAACGTTTCCTAAAATGAGGTTGAAGCAGAAATCATTGCAATAACTAGAAATACAAACCAAAGGCATCTCCAGTGTTACTTATCATTACAGCCATTGGGTTTTTCCCCCTCCAACTTCATATCCACTTTCCAAAGAAGTTTATCTGCACGGGAAGTTAAGATGTTCAAGCCAGGTTGGCCTGTCAGCATTCAGATATTCTCCAGTGACTGTTCAGGAAGCTCAGATAAGTATGTCCATATGGTGACCTGAGGCATGGCTCCGATGGATTCACATAGCCCTAAAGACACATCTGGGAAGTAACTGGGATAACAAGCTCAGACATAGATGTCAACTTTGAAGATTCTGAAGTTGGGCAATATGATTTTAATAGTTAGCGACAAACCAAGAAGCTGTGAAAGGTACAGAGAGGCAAGTCTCAGCAAGAGGAGAAGCGCAGAAACTGAAAAAGGTGTAAATGCTTCACATCACGGTCATTTCTTTGGCCTACAGGGTCAAAAGTAAACACTAAATAGATAAGGAAGCCTCTCAAGACATTACCAAAACCTATATGGATGTCCCATCATCTTCAGAAGAACTACAAGCAATGTGACTGATTCAAGAGGACCCTGCCATCAAAAGCCTAATATTTTCAACACGAGGCAATTCAGAATTTGTCACAGCTCCTCCTTCGTTTACAGTGTTTAAAGCTCATGACAGGCAACCGGGGGGCTCGGGCTGGGGATAGAGAAGACAAACACAGTTTATACACGTACAAAGCTTTAGTTAAAAGGGGAGAAGAAAAACATTCTTCCCAAAGTAGAGACAGAGGAGAGTGCGCAAGTTATTCTTTTACAGTAGGGGAAGGGAAATCTCACTTTTGCATGAGAACCCGGAAAAAAACATGGGTAATTTTGGCTCTTTAAGAGCCCAAGCAGGAAAGAGGGAGTGAAAAAGCTCGTTGCAGCCACTGATGAAGGACAGTGCCTTCTTGAAAAGATCATTAAGGCCAATGAAAATAGAGCAACTCATTAGTGCATCTACTGAAAGTAAGGGGGAACAAGTCAGATGTGGAACAGCACTTCCACACTGCTTATTCATCCTTTCCTCTTTGCCCACCTAAAACTTCAGTCTGCAAGCACACTGCGACAGAATCTTGGCCACTGAAATCCAGGGGACTCTCCAGTAACAGCTGTCTTCAGGTCCTGGAGCAACAGCTGTTAGTACCGAAGTAACAGAAGTGCTCAACTAACATCTGGGATCAAGCACAATAGCAAGAGGGCATGAGTTACATCTTTAGGAGGCCACAAAGGTTCCAAAAATTTCTGGAGATGAAGCAAGAAAAGAAGGCAGCACATGAAGTTTAGCAGCTGCTCTTCTTCACAGGAAGCTGAAGCTGGGAAAGCTTTGTTGCTTCTTTTCCTCACATCTCTTCACACATCCAGGTTTTGATCTGAAGAGGTAAGCGTGCCCACTCCATACTACAGCTCTGCCTTATGTAAACGTGGGTACAACCACGCTACTACAAACAGTCTCTGGGGTGTCCCGGAATCTTTGCGTGTGACATGAGCGTGGCCTTGACTGCAACTGCTCCAGGCTTTGCAACAGAGCAGAACATAATTATTGCCTCATTCTACGGCTAATCTTTCTCCTTGTATTGCATGCCATCTTGCTGCTCTGGTCAGGAAAAAGGTTTAAAATACAAAATTCTGTATTTCCTAAAGGAACCAATAAATATCTCAAATTCAAATACAAGTTCTTTTTTATCATATGGTATCACCTCGCTTATGCCAGCTGCCATGAAGCATTACCATTTTTCTCCCTAAGACAGAGCCATTTGTTGGGGGACAGATTAAGACAGCTATTTAGCATTCGATCATGTTTGCATTTAGACTCCACTTACATGCTGAAGAACTGCTGCCTCATTCTTCTCCTGAAGCCATTCACCAATTGCCAGTTATCAATGCTGATTACGTCAGTTTAGTAGAACCTTGTGTTTGTCAGCCAATACAAAGGAGTTTCAAACAAGAACATTTTTTTATTTCATTAATAAGTATGTCATACTGCATACCTGTAATTGAGTTTCACCAACAAATACACTGAAATGACTGAACCAAGGCATTACTCTTGAGAGAGATGTCACCTTTAGAAGACTTCAGATGTACGCATCTGAAAAAACCAGGTTGCAGAAATATGAGCAGACCTCAAAGCTCATGTCTCCTAAACCATACTTACTGACGCAAAACAGCCGATTGAGGTGAACTCCTGCTACGTTCAGCAACCTGCTATGCCATTGCTGCTAACAGCTTAAGTCTTCACGACTGCCAAGCGCTGGAGCAGTCATGAAACGCCTATGTTTACCCTTTGTGTACAGATCCGTTTCACGTGCTCCCAAAACCTTGAACGTTTGGCCTGTAATTCTTACACTTACAAACCAAGAATTCTAACGTTTAGATTTTTCCACGGTCACATTCCTGGTTCTTGGAACTACTATGCCTTGTATCAAGAAGTACCGATTGAGCAAGTTCAAGCACAGCACAAGAGCACCAATTTGGTAGAAGTCAGTGACTAATTAGAATGAATCGCTACGACACAGCAAATCTAAACTGTTGTATTTTAACAAGCAGTCCCAAAAACCAAGAACAATGCTTCTCAGTGTTTAGCATAACAAGCCCTGCAGACAGAATGAAGAGGTTTCAATGTTCCCCTAGGAGTATCTGCTGGAATGAGTAGCTGAACAGCAAGGCAGGAAACAATCTCACACCGGACTTTTCCATCCACGTGAACTGGAGAGAAACCACAAGACACTTGGAACGGAATTCAACATAGTACTTAAAGTTAGACATCTACACATACAGATGCGCCTGTTAACCAATGTATCTCGTGTAGCAAAGTGAAAGCATAGTTTAAGGCAAGGGACCATTCATAATTAGGGCCTGTTAAAGCAGTCTTTAAGGCTGTAATTCTTCATATTACAGAAAACCATTGCTGAATCTCAAGCATCAACGTTTCACAGCCTCTAATTATGGAAGTTTCCCAAGGCTTATAGTCCTGAAGTTCGTTACGCAGACTCAGTTCCATTTTGCCTCCAAAGACAAACATTTTAAGACCCTTTGGAAATTTGTTTTCCCATCCATTAGGCCGCACCTTGTGAAGACATTAACTAGCATTCCTTACCTAGTTCAAACACAAGTGCACACTGATCACTATTTTGCGAGACATTTATGACTCATGCTATGTATTTTAGAAGTGACCCACAAGAGGAATGGTTGTATTAGTTACTCTTAACTTAATTTGAGACATTTTAATGATGGAGAAGCCATGATATTTTCTTGCCACTCCGCCGCATTTCCAAGGTGACTTGAAAACTAGTAAGTTGGGCATCAGCTTAAAGAAATAACACTACATTTAGACTTGTCACCACCTGAGAGTAGTCAGCTCAATTTCTTCATCTCCTTCAAGAGATGAAGATGCTACGGTCGACAAACTAAGGCGGCTCCCATTCACATGGGACAGTTAAATAGAAGTGGGGAAGAGGGAAGCACCATGAACATGATTTCCAAAGCCCTAACTGCGCTGCAGCACATGCCAAAGCACAAACCTCATTTTTCTTTTTTGCAGGTCACCCTTAAATACATTTTACTGCTATCAAATGGCAGTATGGATCTTTATCTAAGCACAAATCACTACCAAGTTTGGGGACACAGCTATATATACACACACCAGATCAGCAGTAAATAACTACCTTGATTACCCAAAAGACATTAAAATGCTTCAGAAAGTTTTGTTGCATGTCAAGGCTAAAGTCTGATAAAAGCCTCATTTTTCCCCCCTAAGGAAAATACTCTTTTAAAACCTCCGATGAAGCCCTATTAGCTATATGCCAACATGCCTATAAAGGAACTATCCATCTGGAAGGCTGCCAGGGAGCAGATGTTGTACAACACCCAAAAAGGCTTCAAGAAGACCTTTTACAAAACTCTCATCACTAAGTCCACCCAGAACTTCAACTCTTAAGTTTACAAACAAAGTCAGCCACAAGTAAGATGACAGACATCACTTGGCCACCTGAGTTGTACATTACCTTTCTCTTTGACCAGGTCTTTCAGAGACTGCCACTTCACATCAAATGGAATATTTGTAATAAAAGCTCGGTATCTTTTAGCAGGATTAGCATATGGCTCAAAGCGATTTCCTCCTCTTTTGACACTTTTCTCTTTTCTTTTTTCATTTTGGCTTGGTCGTTCACCTTCACTGCAAGCAAAGAAAGATAATCACACACATTAACTACTCTGGCATTTGATCAATGTCATACCACCTCTTGGAACATAACTTGTTACATTCTTAAAACTAAATCAAAACTTGCAAAGTTTCATCCATACACGTTATTTGCAAAACCGTACACCTTTCAACCGAAGCTGGTACCCACGGTACCAGTGCTACATAGTGTATTGTAACAAAGATTTCCTAACAGCAGACAACTTACATCATGAAGACCCACTATTTTCTCCCATATTTATCCAATGTAACCAAAGTTTTCGATTTCATAAGCTGAATCTCTTTAAAACCGACCAAGCCTCACTCCGTCTCCTCGTGATGCTCCAGACCAGACGTCCACCCTATTTATTTTCTCCTTAGCACACTGTACTACTTAAACACCTTTAAGTCAAATAATACATTGACCCACCATACTTGTAGTCTTACACTAGAAGAATTTTAACAAAACAATCCTGTATCTAACTAAACGCTCAGGTCAATGACTCTTACCTCACAACACACCTCACACATCTTTAGAAAGAACTCATGAGAACACATTAGTCAAAAAAAGCTGGTAAAGTTTCTAAAACTTATCTGTACATACACTGAGCTTTTGCTCAACTTAAGACCTATGTAGCCCTGCAAAGTCCAAGCCACGTCAGAAATTCTGGCTCGGATGTGAACACACTTCCATCAACACTGTCCGTTCCTTTAGAACCATTTCAATCACTGAACAGATACAGCCTTCAAAAAAGAAGAAACAAGTATGCAGATGCCTACGAAGTTTTGTATTTGAGTGGGTTCCCCATTTTTATTACACAGCAGCCTACAGTTTTTCAGCCACAAGGATATGTTACAAGCAAACACACAAAAATATTGCACTTCATGGATACAGCCATAACCGCAAACAGAATTTGCCTCTAAGTATGGCCACCATGTATCACTTCACGTCAAAAGAGACACAGGTTCTGCATATAAGTAATATGCTGGAAGAGAGGTCTATTAAAAAAAGTGTTCTTTAGTTATGCACAATACATATTTCACCAAAAAGCAAAATTTTTAGACATCCCTCACTGAACTTTTTTAAAGCTTCTTGAGTAATGAAGTAATTAAAAACCCAAAAATAGATTCAAAATAGAACAATCCTTCTAACACCTTAACTTCTGTTTGGCTGAAGAAATAACACAAAGTTTAGTACTTGTGTTAAAAGCTACACCCATTTTTTTTTATGGTTATTCCTCAAACTGGAACTATTTACAGTCGCTCTGGGTTGAACTGCTGTGTAACATGCTTCGAAGTAATGCGGTATGATGCAGACATTTTTTGGAATCCTGCATTTAAGGCTCCCAAGTCAGCTTAAAACACCTCAAGCTTTGATACACCTGTAAAGAATTCAGACAAGCCACAGTACCTGCCATTAAAGACAAGCATTAGCCTAGAACATACTCCTCCTCATATTCAGCGTAACAAAATCCAGCCAGGTCAAAAGAAGTGTCAAGGAAACTACTTCAGCTGCCAAGTTTGTTGTTTGGTTGTTGGTTTGTTTTTTTTTTTTTGCAGGATTTCAGACACCACCTCCATGGGTTTCACACACCGAAAGGACAAGAACAGGCAGGCACAAGTCCACAGAGATCGCTTAAAAGATGTGGTTACCAAGTATGAAAACAACCGAGCGTTTAGGGCTTCTTTTAAGGAAGTTCTAGGCAGCAGGAAGGAATGAGCCCCACACCACCTCCAAAATACACCACGCCTGCCTGTGAGCATCCCTAAGTTGGAAGGGCAGGCAAGATAAAATTCCCACAGCAGCTTTGCCCATCCCAATAAGGAACCACTCTACATAACTGTGATCCATTTACGCCAAGGCTAATGCAAGATCTACAGAAAATAATGCACTTAAGTAGTTACTTTCAGAAGATATTTCATCTACTCCGCTTTTTTCCCCTTGGGTTACAGAACTGAAACGCTTCATCAAGTCTAAAGAAAAATTCTCCTGTTTGTGATGTGTGTAGAAGGAGGAACTGAAAGGGCAGCTCTTATCTCCTCCAAAGAAACAAACTATTATGCACGTTCCTCTGCAAGATTTCTTAAACATGCCACCTAGACCCAACAAGTGTACCAGAAATCACTAAGAATCAAAATCCAATATAGGCAGATCCCC